ACTGATACCTAGGAAACCATCATGGGACTGGTACAGAACCCCTGAATGTGGGTGTCAGTGAGGAGACCTTAGAAATCTATGGACTCTTGTAGTGGATCAGTACTTATCCCTAGCATAGGAATGGACTTTGGGAGCCCATTCCATATAGAGGAATACTCCCTGAGCCTAGACACAAGGGGGTTGACTTAGGCCCTATCCCAAAATATAAGACAGACTTTGAAGACCCCTATGGAAGGCCTCATCCCCTTGGGAGCAGAAAGAGTATGGGATAGGTAGGGTGTTAGTTGGGGGGCAGGGGAGGAGGGGAGGGAAAGGGACCTGGGATTGACATAATTTTCTTTCTAGTTAAAATTAAAAAAAGAATGAAAGAAACTATCTTTGTGTATATATTTTGTATATTGGTAAAATTTAGGATATTTTATCATACTGCATTTTAAAGTTCTATTTTTAATCAAGACATTTTATTTCTGTTATTGATATATATATATATATAACATTTTTTGAAGTTATTGTCCTTGCTAAATTATTTTGGGAAGCTTCACCCATTGAGCTGTTTTTTTGTTGTTGTTATTTGTCTTTGTTCTCTTTGCCTTAGGAATATTTTGATTTATTACTATATGGCCTTTGTGTCCTGATACTTCTCAAATCTTAATTCTACATTTTTCTATGGCATCTCCTGCAACTTTGCCAAGCTTTTGTTTTAGCGATGTTATTATCACGTGATCATAAAGATGCTGAAGACAAGAGGCACTTGTTCTCTCTGTCCCAAAATGGTGGTGGTGTCAGGGGGAAACTATGATGTACAGTAGCCTCATAGGGAAACCCAATAAACTTCCCTCATTCCTGGATCAGAAGGAACTTTTGTAAATGGAGTTCTTAATTACTCTACATAATAAAAACCCAGAGTCAGATATAGAGGGAAATGCTGAGAGATCAGAGAGAATGAGCAAGCCACAGCACACCTTACCTCCTAAGCTCCTCAGCAGACAAGAGAGTAATTTCCTCTTTCTCCCTGCTTATATCCTGTTTCTGCCCAGCTACATCAGTTCCTATCTGTCTGTAGAGACCTTCAGACCTCTATGGTTAGTTAGTGGCAAGCTCCATTCTCTGACCCCCAGACAGGCTTTATTTGTGCAAGAAAGATATCACCACACACTTTAATGGCTTGCCTGGGAGTGGTCACCCAGTCTCTTGAACACCCCCACATTTCTATAAATATGCAAAATAATCCCAAAACCCAGAGAGAGAAGATTAATTCAGAGTAAAAGTGGATAAAGTTAATCCCCCAAAATGTAAACTTCATCTAAAACACATCTGCCCTAGCTAACATAGACAGGCAGTTTTTCACACAAAAAAATAAAATAGGCAACAAGGTTTCCAAAAAGGAGTTCTTGGAGATAAAGCAGCATATGGTACCCCAGCCGGCATTATGTGTGATATTTATGGACATTCGACTTGCGAGTATTTAGAAAATGGGAGCTTTAACTAAAGATAGTCTGGCTTTATAGTTCCCTCTATGGGGAACATTGTTCCAAAATTGGTATTTTCCATGGAAACCAGAAGTCCTAAGCAACAAAAGATAATGAATGAGCAGCCTATTATAATTAGAATTTAGAAGTAACTAAGAGAAGAAATGACAAATTTGGTAACTTATACAATAGGAAAAAATTGAAAACAGGATCAGAATTGCAGAAAGATATTGAAAGATAGGAGACTAATAAAATTTTAGTGGCTGCTTCAAAAGTAAAGATAAATGTTGAAAAACTAAACTCTTCTCAGTCCTCTGTCCTGTCTACCCCATCTTAGTTAGGGTTTCCATTGCTGTGACAAAACACCACAACCAAACAGCAAGTTGGGGAGGAAAGGGTTTATTTGGCTCACAGTTTCAACATTGCTGTTCATCATCAAAAGAAGTCAGGACAGGAACTCAAACAGGATACAAACCAGGAGGCAGGAGTTGATGCAGAGGCCATGTAGAGGAGCTGCTTACTGACTTGCTTCCCATGGATTGCTCAGCCTCCCTTCTTACAAAACCCAGGATGAACAAGCCAGGCATGGTACCACCCACCATGGGCTGGGCCCTCCCTCATTGAACACTAATAGAGAAAATGTCTTACAGCTGGATCTCACTGAGGCATTTCCTCAACTGATGCTCCTTCCTCTCTAATAACTTTAGCTTGTGTCAAGTTGACACACAAAACAAGCCAGTACATCCTATAATAAAGGAATTTCAACTTCCTCCTTCCTCATGACCTTTCCCTTCCTACCTTTCTTTCAAGCGATGCCCAGAGAGGTTTAAATGGTTCTAAAATGGAACAAAATTCTATACAAAACGCCCGCAGCTCCTTTTAAGGAAAAAACTCAGGGGAGGGGGAATGCACTTAGTGTCTGTACTCCATGAACAAAAGGAGAGCTGAAATCTTTGATTATGTGGGTCCCAGATGCATACTGGGACCTTCAAGGATTTGCTAGAGAAAACACTAAGATCACTCTATTAACGTATGAACCAGGGTTTCCTAACTTATGCAAACAAATTCAATCATTAGTTTCAGGAAGCAAGACCAAGGAGCAGTTTCACTTGGCAGAATGGTAAAACACCCAGAAAACCTTAATGAAATAGATGTTGATGCTAACACTTCCTGTCATGTATTAGGAAACCACTGCGTTACTGTGATACCAAAATTATTCCCACAGATGATGATGATGATAATGATGATGGTGGTTATATAACAACCATCAGGCCAGGAAAAGTACCTGACTTCTATGTCATAATTGAAAAACAAACCGCAACATTTAAGCAACAGTCAAGAATTCCTTCTGAGAAATTTGAAGATCAAAGAATCAAAGAAATGGTAACTTATTAAAATATGCATTTATGAAATAGCTAGAAGATTTGGCCACTTTGGTCAAATGGAATAATACGGTATGGGTCTCAATTCCCAGAGATGCCCTGTTACCCTACCAGACCAACTTTCAAGAACTATCAGGAAAAAAAATGGGTAATAGACCACTACCCAAATTATGAACTTATAATTTCAACAGTTGGCTTTCTAAGCAACAAACAACAACAAATAATCTACCAATCCCTTCCATCCTGAAAAAGACAAAGTAATTTGTACTATTGTTAAAAGCCTGGACATTTCAAAACACACTGTAAGAAACTGAAATGGGCACTCTTTCAAATGGGAGAGGAGAGAGAGAGAGAGAGAGAGAGAGAGAGAGAGAGAGAGAGAGAGAGAGAGAGAGAGTCAGTCCTTGAAAACATAAGGGCAGACTAGAATAGACAATCCAGAGAATTTTCCTTTTCTCCTTAATATTACCATAGGAGGAACAGACATAATTATTAACCTAGAGAAACAAAGGCCCTGGTGAATACTGAAACTAATCTATTCTGCTGTAAATCCCACTCATGTTTAAAAATCTTCCCTCTGAGTAAAAATAAAATTCAAGTGGTAGGAGTTTCTAACCTACCCATAACTGCCTTTAAGACAAACCATACAAAATTGCAGCTGGGAGAAACCATGGGGTGTCATACTTTTGTAGTGATTGTGCCCCTATCCACCTATTAGGACATGACTTTTTAGAAACACAGATTTTGAATCCACTGTACAAAGACCATTGACTTGATTCAAATTATAATTAAATGAATATTAATTACTGCTAGCAGGCCAACAGCCTTAAAGGCAAATCAAAGGTGTGACATCAGTAGTATTTCATTTGGGTGGAGGATGTAGCAGAGTGAGAATCAGCTTTTACTCCCCTCGATGTAAGGAGCTGTCTCTCTCCCTGTATACAGGAATAAAGGAGCTGTTTCATTCCCTGGTATACAGTAATAAGTGGATTTACACAAGTCACAGCAAACATTTAATTATTTCATATCAGTTTTAGGAGGTGAGGGGAGCAAGGAGTTAAGAGTTGCTGGGATCTTATCATTTAGGAATTTAGAAAAGGTACCCTAGAACAAAATTGTAGTTTACTTTAGCAATTTCATTCTCCACTGACTCTAGATAATGTTAATCAAATCATAGATTCCTGTTGTCTTTAGCCATGGCATTCTCCACTGACTCTAGATAATGTTAATCAAATCATAGATTCCTGTTGAGGTTCAGGTTAATAGTGAACCTATAAGACTGATATTTTAAGAGTTGATTTGTTATGAGATGGCATAACTATAGTTTAGTAATCAATTATATTCCGAATTGGTTCTAGGAGAATGAGTTTAATCTGGGGAATTTTTTTTTCAGTAAAAGATAGTGGTGACAGCATTATGTCAATTTATTAGAAAATAGTAAAAGATTGTTAAATTGTTAATACTTCACTTATAAGCTTTCTATGCATTTCAGATTATTTTTTAAAGAATTAAAAGACACAAACAGGATAAAAGCAATTTCTTCTAGATAATCCTTTTTCTGTCTAAATCATTAAACTTAAATAAAGCCACTGGCTTACACTGAGGGGCATAAATTTACTTTGGGATACTAACAGGTTATTAACTCTTTCATTGATAGGGTTTTTACCGTTTTTTCAATTTCTTCACATAATCACTTAGGCAGCATCACACCAGTTAGAGTTTTCACTAACTCAAACTATCCAAAGCTCTTCTGTATACCTTTTTCCTTTGTTAAAGTTTGTCCCACACTGTACTTTCCTTGTATGGACAAAGGGGTGCATAATTCTTACTCAGAAGTTTACTGAACATTAATCCTGAATCACACACACAAAAAATTCCTGAAAGCACTTTTTCATTTCATATGATTTGTACTCCAATGCTTTTGTAGTAAAAAAAAAACCACACAACTAAATATGAAATTAGGAAAATACAGCATATAAAACTTAATGCAGAGCAAAAAAAGTTACCATCTATCCATCTACAGGACAGCTGCTACACCATCCATGTAAATCATATCTGAATGTATTATTTTAGAATCATGCTGAAATATATTTGCAATATGTGAACTGTAGACATCCATATTTTTTCATCTTTCATATCATTTGTTGCATTAAGTAGCCAGCACCTGCTGGGATCCACAAGATGGAACAAATCTAAAGAATCGCAGACATTTCTCAATGTTTGAGAAGTCTGGTCCACCCTTTGTGTAGTTCCCTGAGACTTCTGCTCCACTGAAGTCAAAACCAGGACTTTGTTTCTGGAATCGCTCGAATGTAAGTTTTCTCTGCATTTGGTCTTGCACCAAGGGATCAGCTGCATAATCAGATTCTAGAAGAGAAGTCCAACACTTTGAAGTATCTCTCTTGGTCTTTGTCAGAACAATGCGGACCATTTTTCTATCCTCCCAAGTCCATGTTCCTTGATCAGAAATTGTAGAATCCAACAACTTTCCCTTGAGGATCTCTTGGCCACCCAAGGCCAGAGCCACATGCCAGTTTTGCAGGTCCCACTGGATGTCCTGCGCGTGTGTGCCCGGGGACACCTGGACTTCAGTGAACCCTTCCTCCAGGGTCTGGCACCGCAGGCCCCACAGCGTCCCACACGGAAACACCCAACTGTGCTCCTCAAACAGGGGAGACATTCTCCAGATGCAATGCACGGACCACGCTGGGCGGGGCGGGGGGGGGGGAGCAGGGAGGAGCACAGATCACTCGGGATGTGCCTCAAAAGTTCACCCTCGGCACGGCACCTTGGGGTCCAAATCTGGGGAATCTAATTTTAAGGTTCCCCAGTATCTACAGTGTTTGACAGGACACCCATGAATGAACATTAGAATGCATAAAGCAGTGAGACAGAGAAAATAAAAATCTGTTTTGCCCAGGTAAAAATTGATTACCAGGAAGTAAGCCATTCAGTCAGATCCCAGACTCCATCTTGAGTATCCCTTTTTACAAATTTTGTAACTCTGATTTTTAACAGCTTTTGGTGAGTCTGGAGGCCAGCATGGGCTCTGGGATGTCAATAGGCACTACAGGTAGCCATTTGTCCCTTTTGCCAGACAGAAGAGAAGGGACTCCTGATAGAGGGACACTAGTTTCCCCTAGACTTAATATTCCAGTCTTTTGAGGAGTATGAGGGGTGACATACTCTCTTGTGTAACTGCTTCTCAGCTGAAATTAGGATCTTGTTGTTAGACCCCAGAAGGTTGGAATGCTGGTCAAAGGACAGGAGGGGGCAGGGTACATCTAGTTCACTGCCTAGGTCCTGCTAGACCACCTGGAGCTAGTGAAATCCAGACTGCTTTTGAGCAATCTGGAATGCTAGTTCAAAGCAGAGGCTCAGGCTGGTAGGGCATTCGTGTCAGAAGCATCTTATTTATATCACTTTTCAGCAAATGTAGGGCTTGTTAGTTCTGAAGGACCACCTAAAGCTGGTGTGTTTGGGGCAGTTTGGAGTCTTCAGTTGACTGGAAATGGGTTGGAACAGATAGTGACTAAGGACAGAAGATAAACTTTAGGAATTTAGGAGAACTTTTTACATTAGGAGAGAGCACACCCTCAGTGGGGAAGCTTAAGCTCTTGATTGACAGGAGTCCATTTGTTCTATGTCAGATGGATCCAAGTCACAACTCCCTGAAGTTTACATGATTTTTTAAGTTTACAAAAAGAAATCAAAGTTTAAGATATATTTTCATTACCATTGTATTTTATCTGTATTGAAATCTTCATTGTATAAAAAGCAGTTTACAAGACTCTGTAAACAGTTTGAATAGAGTCATGCCTTTGAATCATAGCAAAAGTTTGGGGACCTAAAAAATAATTCCTTGTTTAAATGTGAACATCTTTCCCTCCTGTTGGGTCCCAGCCCCCATGGGGTCTCTGTGAGTTGCTTGTCAGCCAAAAAACATAGGTGCAACCTGTGTTCTAGTCCTGGCTTACAGCCCTGGCCTTGCTCCACTACATCTGGGAAAACATGAGCTCTTCTACCTGGGGTTTTCCCACTGTGCTGTAAGTGTATGTAAGGCTTTTCTCTCCCTGGAAAACAGCATATGACTAAAGATGGAAAGACACACATATCACAAGAGGCCGGATGTCTCTGCTTTTAACTAAATCTCCAGGCTTTCGCCCAATACTCGGATTTAGTCGCTGCACTGACGCCACAACCTCTGTCTTGAGGGTTGTATATACATATAGATTGGACAAAGGTGTTTTCAGTACAATGAGAAGGGCCTTTAAGTCTGTACTTAGAGGATAAACGAAGGAAATTTAAAAATTGGAGCCTTTGAATATAATAGTAGCCAGTACTTTACCAAGGTTAGATTAATAGAACTCCACTGATTAACATGTGAATTTTGAAGTCTTAAATTCATGCATCATTTTAAGTCTTATTTTTATATATCTTAAATCATTTTTAGATCCTTATAGCTAGCATTTACATATTTAAACATTTTAGACCTTTAGAAGTTACATAAATTTTAAGTCTTTTTTATCCAGTTATTTACTATGACATAGGTGGTTGATTATAGCTAACAGTCATGGATAATCAAGTTTCTTTAAACCATGAAATAGTGAAAAGTTACATTGAACACTTTACCCCCTCCCTTTTTTAGTATGAAGCCTGCCAGTAGGATAAACTATCTAGGTCTGCCTTTTCCAACAGGAGACATAGTAGCTCTAGAAAAAACGCAAAGCCTGATTTTATTTATATATGAAATGAACTGACCAGATAGCTTCAGCCATTGTGAGAGGAGCTGGTTTGCTTTTCTGTTATTAAATGGATTGAGCTACAGTTACCCACCAACATCATCAGAGATCTGAGAAGTATAAATTTGAACAGTAAGTAAAACCCAAAGGGCCTCAGTATCAATTAAAATGATAGGGACTTACCTGCCACCTGGATGGTTACCCAGGGAGGTGTCAGTTTTCAGCACTCACACAGGCCAGCATTAACTTTTTGACTGCCTCACAGGGCAGCATTGGCCACTGATTGCCAGACCCAGAAATCTGAGAGACTTTCTAATTGGTGAAGAACTTGAGAGACAGGCCTACCTTGGAGAGCCAAAGAACGGTAATCAATTCTGTACCCTGCTTATCCATATTTGGGGCAGGGTCCTGGAAGTGGGCAAAGCATGGGGCAGTGGTTACCATTACCACAATCTAGGTGGAGTCATCTTCCTCAAGGAGACCTTACCTTTAGGACCAGCTTCTAGAAGCTGTCATTTTTCTCTATCATGGGAAGTGTGTAACAATAAATCTTTACTCCAAGCCAACCCAAACCCTGCCGCCATGTGGGTGCTTTCTACCAGGCTGCCTGAGTCCCCCCCGCCACCATGTTAAGGTCCCAAGTAACACAGAGAGACTTATATTAGGTACAAATGCTGCTTGGCCAATAACTAGGATTTCTCATCGGCTAGCTCAGTCTTAATTATCATAAATCTATATATTTCATAAGACTTATCTTATGGAGGGTGCCTTCCACTGGTGTCCTAATCCTGGGATCAGAGCAGAGAGCAGGAGGAAGTGTGAAAGGGGGACAACTTCCTTCTTGCCCTTGCTTATATATGAGTATCCCTGCTATGTCTCTTCCTGCCTGGATCACCACTTCTTTAGTACATTTCCCAGAATCCTCCTTGACTCCTAGTTCTGTGTAACTTGCTGCCTCATTGGCCAAACAGTACTTTATTCAACAACCAATAAGATGAACATACACAGAAAGACCTCCCCCATCAGAAGTGGTTTTTGTTAGACATTTTAAATACCATATTTAGGAGATTTCTGAGTAGTTTGAAGAACCTCATCAATTAACTATACCTTATTTTAAACAAACTTTGTTTTTAGTTACTTGCTTGAGGCTTATCATTGAAACCATGTACACGAGGCTAAATAAAGTATGTCCCTGTAAATGAATTACATTTGTACCTGGTATAATTTTAAGTGCAGTTCTAAGCATATTAAAGAATTTGATCATTTATAAGATGATTGACTATTAACATCCAGGCACACCTTGGCCCTGTCCCTTTGGGGGGCGTGGCAAGCAGTACCCTGACTCTGTATACAGGTGCAAAAGGTCCCTTTAAGAGACAAACTCTAGCCAGCACTGATGGCACATGCCTTTAATCCCAGCACTTGGGAGGCAGAAGCCGGTGTTCATGGCTGATCTGCTCTACAGAGCAAGTTCCAGGACAGGTTCCAAAAGGTATACAGAGAAGCCCTGTGAGAGAGGACAGAGAGAGAACAGAGAGAGAGAGAGAGAGAGAGAGAGAGAGAGAGAGAAAGTTTCACCTACTCCCACTGCATGACATATTTGTTTCTCACCTGCTGTGGGGCTCCTTGGACCTGACCCATCAGCCAAGGTCCATCTCTTGCCACATATCATAACATTGACCATTAACATACATGTCTTAATTACCTTTAACAGTTTGTAAGTTAGCAGCTTTTATGAGATTAGGATTTTCAATTTTATTGCTGTTAAATTTTAGCCTTTAAAATTTGGGTTGAAGATTTAATTGAAAATCATTTAGCAGTAAAATAAAACTTTTAAGTCATAAATATAGTTTACAGAGTGACTGTGACTCTTACAAAACCATAAATACAGTCTACAGAGAGACTGGGAACCTTTTTTAAATCTTTTTTTTATAGTGTACCATTACAGACTATTATTTTGTTTTTTTTTTGTTTTTTATGACTCAGTTTATCCAAATAGCTAAAGTTTAACAAGTTATCAAAGTTAAAGAGGCTAGAGATATCTGTAAGTCAGTTTCTACTGGCCTGAATATATACAAACTTACATATTTCATTTATCAAACATACCTTTTTAATCAAACATAGGTTTTTTAACTAATTCTTTAAAAGTCTGATGTTGAACACAGTTAACAAAGACACATCTGTAAGTCAGTTTCTGTTAACCTATGTTGTTTAAACTTTGGCACAGTAGCTGTGCCTTTATCTACTGCTATTTCAACCAGCAATCATGACTCCACAGTTACTACCCTTCTTCTCTATCAGCCTGGCCATTCAGTTCACAGTCTGATGGGAATTCTGTCCCCACAGGACCCTGCTCTGTCACTGCCACTAAAGGTACCTTTAACTAAATCTCTATCATTATATTTATAAATAAAACTCAAGATTCAAAGGCTGGGGTAAAAACCTACTAGCTCAGAGAGGCTGGTTCGCAACTAGCTAACCTCTATTTGATTTCCAAAAGACCTGTACTTCTGATTCACCAAACCAGAGAAAGCTTCACCACTCCAAATCCCTCCCTGCTGCTTTCTGTGTCTCTTTATCTCTCTCAGATGCCCTCTGGTGCTCTATGATTACTTTCTGTCAACTAATTGCTAACTCAGACTCCTGACCCAAGGTTAGTTTTATTTAATTAATGCAAATGCAAACTCATGGTTCACAGTGTAATCAAATATCCCAAAGAAACCTAAGTAGATTTTTAGAACCTTGGGAATTTGTACATCTCAATTAAGCATTTTTTGCTTGGAATTTTATATTCACACCCACCCCCAACCCCACAATGGTCTTATGCATCCTGAAAGAAAGTTTATATATTTCAGCAAGAACATTGAATATGTGACTTGGAATGGGAAACATTTTTTAAATAACAAGAACCAAGAAAGAGGGAAGAAGTTAAAGAGCT